GTTCTTTTCTGTATATTAATAAATTATCATTTTACCCAGTAAAACTAAATTATTACTATACTTTCGTGTCCTCGTATAATTCTTTGAAAATACAATTCATTTTTAATTGAAACACAGAACATTAATTAAAACCACACATCTCCCAATTATCCCATCTCCAATGGAACTTTTCACATTGCTCATTCTTAATTGGCAAAAATAACGCCTAGAAGTCAAAGAATTGTCTCCGTGTGGTAAAACACGTGCATTAAAAAGGTTTCTTTAATAATAAGTTAAGCAGATCTTTTAGACTTTGGAACACTATCTTGAAGACAATATTTTATCGAAATAATTATTATTTGAATGAAATTACCGTCATGGGTATGACGATAAATTACATTCGCGTCCTGGGTATGACAAAAAACTACGTCCGCGTCCTGGGTAAGACGATAAACTACATCCGCGTCCTGGGTAAGACGATAAAGAACATCCACGTCCTGGGTATGACGATAAACTACATCCGCGTCCTGGGTAAGACGATAAACTACATCCAACAGCAAGGAGGTTTTGAGGAGCATGGAACCACCTCTTAATTGCTGGTGTTCCAGGTCCACCCTGACCTGGAATGGTAGCACTTGTTAAGGTCCCAGTTATGGGCAAATAGTTAACCCCTAATCTGGGGTCAAAACACTATGAAAGTGTAAAAATAGGTTTTAATACCAGAAATACTTTGTAAAAAAAAATATTACCAGCAGTACATTTTTGAAGAAAAAATATTACCAGCAATACACTTTTGAAAAAAATATATTACCAGCATAAAGTTTTGGAAAAAAAAATATTACCAGCAAAACATTTTTTGAAAAAAAATATTACCAGTAATAGATATTTTGAAGAAAAAAATATTACCAGAAATACATTTTTAAAAAAAAAAAAAATTACCAGTAATAAAAATTTTCAAGTTCAAAATCGTCTCTGAATCCTCGTAGATGACAAATTATTTTCCACTCCCCAACCTCTCTCTTAAAGTCTACTTCCACGGAAAGTGCTCGGACGAACTACATTCGTTGGTTCTGTCAGGTCTAACCTTCACGGCTAAGACCAGTCATGCTACTTACATTTGAGCAAAGGACACAAATTCCCTCTCTATTCCATTGGTGAGAAGTAAGTCCCACTTGAGCAGCCTCTTCCCGCGAACCACTTCCCTGTGGAACCGACTCCCAACAGGATGTCTCCTCGATCACCATAATCTTAACCTGTTCAAGCCTAGAGTTAACCGTTATCTTCCCCTTTTGCATCAGAAATTTATCACGCCCGTGCACTATTGTCTTGACTATCGATTAGTTGTCCTACGGTCATTGTCTGCAATGGACATTACTGTAAGGAAGCATACAAAATTTGTGACACTGCATAAACACACTAGAAAGCCTTACCAGTGAGAAAATCAAAGTACAATCGCCCAGACACTATTGTCTCAACTTTGATGTTTTACAATTAACGTTACTCTGGGGAAGTTTAAGAAAATTGTAACGCTGCACGAACCCACTGGCAAGCGTTACTAGTGAGCAAATCAAAGTTCTATAGACTGAAACTCTCCTGTTTTTAATTCAGTTGAGAATCTTCAAGGAACGACATCCGATGTATTAACATGTGTACTGACTCATGTTTCATTGGAAAAAATACGAAAAAAAAGTTAAATAATAAATAAATATTCGTCTTGTTTCAATTAATTTATATATATATATATATATATATATATATATATATATATATATATATATACACACATACACACAGGGTGTCCATAAAGTTCGCGTGCACTTTAAAAATTTATAACTTTATTTGTATTTGCGATAGAAATATTTTGTAAAAAGGATTAGAAAGAAGGAAATCTATATTTTTTAAGGTTTTATTGAAATTTTCCACATGTCCTCCATCATTAGCAATACAAAGGGTAATGCGATTTTGCAGTACACAGAAAACATTTGCCAACTGATTTACAGTAATGCCGGAAATGGCATTTTAGTTATTTAGCTATACTTAAAACTAGGTGCATTAAACTTTATAACATTTTTTACAGATTAGTTCTATCGCAAATACAAATAAAAATATAAATTTTTTAAAGTGCACACGAACTTTATGGACACCCTATATATATATATATATATATATATATATAACTCTTAAATTGTTTCCTTATTTATTCATGTTGCTTGTACGTATTCCGATGAGGGAAATCATTCCGATCAATTAGTAGCGAGGTATCGATAAACATTTTCTCAGAAGACGGAAATGGAATATTAAATATTCAATATCAGATGCCTAATTAAGATGACTACGCGCTTCATAATTACTCATTCTCTCAGACGATCACCTTCACGCATGCGCACATTCGTATTGATTCCCCCCTACCTTACACGCTGCCAGATTTCATTTACACACCGACCATGTAACTTTAATGACACTGTTCCGGGAAATAATCTGGCAAACTATAGCGACTGAAGCCAGTCGGATCCGAAACCATGTGCTTGCTACTTGGTTTTAACTCAGCTTAGTAGATGTTATGTGATTATCCCACCTAATCAGCCCGGAGACTTCTGACGCTCGCTAGGAGGAGTTTAACAGTAAAGGGTACAAATTGTCTCCCTTATTTTTCTCTTTAACCACGGGATACCGAACGAACAAGACGTGTTTCGTTTTCCACTTCGAGGAAATTCTTTGTTTCCAACGTGTCGCCAGAGAGGCAAAATAATGACTATACTACCGCCTTTCGAAAACAAATAAAAATATACATGTGACCACTTTAATATCTATACTAGAAAGTATTGCTGACCGTCCTGGGGAAGACGATAAACTACATCCGCATGCTGGGTATAACGATAAACTACATCCACGTCCTGGGTAAGACGATAAACTACATCTGCGTCCTGGGTAAGACGATAAACTACATCCACGTCCTGGGTAAGACGATAAACTACATCTGCGTCCTGGGTAAGACGATAAACTACATCTGCGTCCTGAGTAAGACGATAAACTACATTCGCGTCCTGGGTATGACGATAAACTACATCCGTGTCCTTGGTATGACGATAAACTACATCTGCTCCCTGGGTAAGATGATAAACTACATCCGCGTCCTGGGTAAGACGATGAACTATATCCGGTATCATGGACTCTGATCAAGAGGGTTTGAGGAACGTGGTAAATAGTTAACCCCCAAACTGGGGTCAAAACACTATGAAAGTGTAAAAACAGGTTTAATAACAGAAATACTTTGTAAAAAAATATTACCAGCAATAAATTTTTGAAGGAAAAAATTATTATCAACAATACATTATTATCAGCAATACATTTTTGGAAAAATAAAAAATTACCCATAATACCTTTTTGAAAATAAAATATAACCAGCAATACATTTTTGAAAAAAAAAATTACCCGTAATACCTTTTTGAAAAAAATATTACCACTTATACAGTTTTTGAAAAAAATTACCATCTATACATTTTTGAAGGAAAAAACATTACCAGTAATAAAAATTTTGTCGGCATTAAATAACCCATTGGGGTTGATATGCCGTAAACCAAAGCAAACCAAATCAAACCTATGGTTGAAATATATTTCTCCCGACGTCACAAGAAAATATTCCTCTTCAATACGCTGCCAACGTTGCTAGTAATTGGTAACGTAACATGTTAGGTAGACTCCGATGTGATCTCTATCGGGTAGCATTTAAGCTAGCTCTTGCTGTGAGCTCTTTATTGGGCCTTCATCAAAATAGGTAGGCAAGGTAAGAATACATTACAAAACTTAAAATTGATAACTTTTAAAAAGTTCAACGATAATTCTTGTTTCCACTTAATTTAAAGACAATTTTTCATGTTTGTAGATACATACAGTCAATTAGTTTTAATTCTGGTATGACTTTCGCTGGACTTCGCAATTAATTTTGATTATTCCAAATTTAATTCCATTCCCATTTGATTGAATTCCTTTATTAAGAATAATCAAACACTTGCGAATGACATAAAATAAAAAAAAAATGAGTAGGGGATCAGCTTAGTATATCAGCAAATGATGCATGCACCGGGGACGCAGGCAGACATTTCTAGGCAGGGGGTGCGGTTATACAATTGCAGCAAGTACATCCGGGCAACGCCAGTACCTCAGGCTAGTATATATATATATATATATATATATATATATATATATATATATATATATTATGAAATGGACAAAGTCCGACAATTATTTTAAGACATTTTTATGTTTATATATTCTTTTTATAGATACAAATATTTAAGTAAATGCTATGTTTATAATAAACAGTATTAACGACATTTACCGGCCTGAATGTGCGAGAAATTTTCATAGAAAATATGCGTCCTCGGACAGGAATCGAACCTCTATCCTATATGGAACCGTCATATCGCCTGACGTGCTTTTAACCGATTTGGAGTGTTCGATTATCAAGGTCGAATTTGCTTATAAAAACAGAGAATTTACTTAAATATTTGTATCTACAAAAAGAATTTATAAACATAAAAATGTCTTAAAATAATTGTCGTACTTTGCTGAACTATTCTTCCACTCTCATAGCCAGCTGATTGCGTTTAAGCATGATACAGACTGTCGCCATCATATATATATATATATATATATATATATATATATATATATATATATATATATATATATATATATATATATATATATATCCTGGTAAAAGGGCTCTGATCGGGAGATTGGTGCATTTGAGGATCGTGGAATCACCACTTAATTGCTGTTGTTCGCAGGTCAACGCTGACCCGGAGTGGTAGCACCTGTTAGTGTCCCAGCTATGGGAAAACAGTGAACACCCAAACAAAAACAAAATAGTATGAATGTCTAAGAATAGAAGCAATAGATTTTCATATAAAAAATTACCACCAATACCTATTTATAGTAAAATTACCAACAATACATTGCATCTGTAGATGAAGGCATACAATTGCTTTCAAAATATTTAGATTTCGGTATTAAATGAT